TTTTCACATGGGGATTTTCCTCAGGGCTAATTTTCACTTGGGAACAAGTTTTACTTTCTAACTACACCGTAAGCCCCATGTAAACAACATTTTAAAATAGAAATAAATTGATGGTTTTGTTTCTTTTAACCCAATCTTATATGAAATTTCTGCCTTTTAGAAGTCATCCCCCTCACTCTAGTTTGAGGTAGAATTTAGTATAATAAACATTTACTTAATAAGTACACCAGGGCAGAGGAACTGGGGTGATGGATGATCTCACAGTTAAACATCCACTGGCAAAAGCTAACCCACTCTTTTTCAATTTAACTTGCCTGAGTATTTTTGGCCGGCAGCCTTTCTACACTCAGCTATGGCACTCTTCATATTTTAAAGAGACACATGGATTTCCAAACCGAATCTTTAAATCCCTAATAACTTAGTCTCTGCCATAATTCACTAATTCCCCCCTGCTTGTTCTATTGAAGGGAAAGGCATAAAGAGGAGGGATGAAATTATTTTTTAAAATCAATAACAAACCTTGAAATGAATGTGGAGACTTTTTTGTTCAAGGAGATGAAAACTCATTACATTATGACTTATACTTTTTTACATTTCCATGCATCCATTTTCTCATATGACAGATTGAGTAGCCAAGGCTCCAAGTTGCTATGTTGCTTTCCTTTGTTCAATTGTTTACTTGACGAAAATGCATGGAGAGTGTCCTATGTAGAAGGCATTTTAGGGATGTACATTGTGTCAGATAGCATCACGGCTTCCATATGTTGAAAATCCAAGAAGGGTGCCAAGGATCACAACATCAAGGAAGTTATAGGCTGAGTGTGGGCAAAGAAGGATGGGTCTCTGTTGGTTAATCACAACGAAGGAACTGCCATTTATCTTAGATCTTGAAGAACATGTGAGACTTCAACATACAAAACCAGAAGAAAGAGGAACAAGGAATGATATAATGTAAAAGGCACAGTACTAGGAAGTGGCAGATCTGGGTTCTGGCCACTGTGAGAAATTCACTTCATGAGCTCCAGGACCTCAGGGTCTTTATTTGTAAAACTAGAAATTGGGTTAGCTGAGCTCCAACTTCCTTCCTAACTCTACCATTCTGTGGCCTTGAATGGTCTGGAATGAGCAGTAATCAAGATGAGCTGGTAAAGGAAAAAGTGGTAGGTTTTGGTCTTGGAAATCAAACTGAATCAATTACCTTGAACATAATAATAACAGAGTCCACTATTAAAATGGTATTAGATTTTAGTTTGGAAGAACAAAAACTTTTGAGTCTGCTCCAACCATCACTGGGCATTCAAAAAATAGTACAGAATGGCCAGATATTTGCTTGAAGTTTTGTCACTCTCGCCTTTGTACTTCCAGTTGCTCCAATTAATTGTTTCAGAAAAGTTGGGTTATTTCTTGCTCTTCTTAAAGAGGAACCAGTCCCACTGGTGAGTAAAATTTAGAAATTTTGGACCTTTAAGACACAAGGTTATCAATTTTGGCATCTCCAAGGAGGAGCCAAGCCCCTTTAGTGGCATCAGGAATCCCTCCTTCTATCCCGTTTTTATAAAAGTTGCTGGTTTTTGTGAACAGGTTGGTGGCTTGGGAAACTCATGGAAGAAAACATTATTTCAGCTTATAAAATATTTACAAAAGAAAAATTTATCTGAGCCAAGTTAAAGTTGTTGACCAGCCCTTGTGGAGATGCCAGTGAATCCCTCCCCCCATCTCACCCCCGTCCAGTTGAAAAAAAAAGTCTTCAAGCTAAGCAGAGCTCCATCTTGCCTTGCATTACCTTGTTATTCCAAGGCATCACAGCTAATATGTGAAAGAGCAACAAGCTGGGGACTATACCTTTATTTGAGGACAGAGAGAAGCAATTGGTTCATATTTTTTAGTAGGGAATGGTTTGATTTGAACCTTTCATTAGGAAGATGGATTTGGAGCCTGCATGCAGCATGGATGAGGACCCTGGAGGAGAGAGACTGTGCAGGCAGAGAAACCTGCAAGATGCACTATAAAAAGCTGGAACAGACATTGGTATAAGACTGAAATGGAAGAGATCCAAAATATGTTGTGAAGGAAGACGCTACCCAATCCTACCTAATAAAAGAGTAATGTGTAAATTAACCATCACTCCGCTACACCCACAAGCCATGCCCACCAGCCATGACCACCAGCCAATCAGGGCAAGTATGCAAATAAACCCAACCAAGATGGCTATAGCCACAGAGAGCAAGAGGGAGGCTTGGGTTTCCCAGGCAACGGTAGAAGCCAACCTTTCCCCCTGCCCTTGCCAGCCTAGGCCTCCACTCAAGGCTACAAAGTTTCAATTATAGACGGTAAACAAATCCAAACAGAAATGGCTGCCACTATCGAGTGAGAAGGAGGTTTGGCTCCGCTCCAGGTTACAAAGTTTCAATTGTAGAAGGTAAATAAATTCCAGATACCAGGGCCTCTGCTTGGATTGCCAGGAGGTGTGGCCGGCCTGCAAACCACCACAGGACCCTCACTCACGCTGCTCATACCCCAAGGGAACCCCCTCCCTGATCTAGGACACCCTTCAGGGCAAACCAGCTGGCCCCCACCCATGCACCAGGCCTTTATTCTATCTGATAAAAGAGAAATATGCAGATTGACCATCACTACAACACACAAGATGGCTACCTTATGTGGTCAAAGATGGCTGCCCCCATGTGGACACAAGATGGCCATCACAAAGTGGCCAGCAGAGCAGGGTAGTTGGGGGGAGAGGGGCGTTCAGGCCTGCAAGGAAGAGCAGTTGGGGGCAATCAAGCCTGCAGGGGAGAGCAGTTAGGGGTGACCAGGCTGCCAAAGGAGGGAAGTTGGGGGCAAACAGGCTGGCAGGGGAGCAGTTAGACATCAATCAGGCTGGCATGGAAGTGGTTAGGGGGTGATCAGGCTGGCAGGCAGAAGCAGCTAGGGGCAATCAGGAAGGCAGGCAAGTGAGCAGTTGGGAGCCAGCAGTCCTGGATTGTGAGAAGGATGTCTGACTGCTGGGATTGGGCCTAAATGGGCAGTCAGACATCCCTCGAGGGGTCCCAGATTGGAGAGGGTGCAGGCTGGGCTGAGGGACACGCCTTCCCCACCCCCCTGCACTGGGCCTCTATTCCTATATAATAAAAGCCTAATATGCAAATCGACCAAATGACAGAACAACCAGAGGACTGACTGGTTTCTATGATGCCCCTTGGCCACTAGAGGGCAGACGCTAATGCAGGAGCTGCCCCAGCCCTCAGACCCCAGGCCAGCCAAGGTGAGTGCCAGCAGGAGCCCCCCAATCATCCTGCCGTTTGCCCCACAGATAGGCCCTGATCACAGCCCAGGCATAGGCACCCTACCCATGCATGATTTTCGTACGGCAGGCCTCTAGTAAAATGATAAAAGGTAACACATATTACTTGGTTCCTCTTCTAGGTGGCAAACACTGTGCTAAGAGCTTTATAAACATTGTCTTATTTAGCTTTCACAAAGGCCTTATGAAATACGTTTTAGGGGTTATGTTGTGATATGGCACTATTAGATGATGATATGGCCAAGGGACCCATTTACAACTTATCCTGGACAACTTTCCTCTAAATGAGGCTCTCAAGAGGCAGACAGTGACACATGAGATATGACAAATAGCAGATTCATAAATTTGTGAATTTGTTATATATATACACATATATAGAGTGTCCCCCCAAAATGTATACATACTTAATAGCTGATAGCTCAATTGATGTTTCTTTCTTTTCAGATTTAATCCATTGGAATTAATCATTATTCAAAATGTGTATACATTTTGGGGGGAACATCCTATATATTTTTATCCCCTCCCTGTAAAAATAAACACCATTCTATCAGCTTAGCTACATGCCTTCTTAGGCTATTAGGCATATTAACCCCCTAACACCAAGTTATTATATTTGGGTTGCTGCTGAAATCAACTTTGCCATACTGATTTGGTCTAAACTCTCTTAGGTAAATGTCTAGGCCTGGGGAAATGCATGCCATTTTAGGCTTTTGGTACAGGCTAACATTGATCATTCTTGCCTTGTGTTTGGCATAAACTTCCTGAAATTAAGTCAGACCTCTCTTCCCCATATCTTCTTAAATAGATTATTCATATTCTGGAAACTGAACATAAAATGATATTGTTTTGTTCAAATCAGTAATAGCCAACTTTATGCAAGTTGCCAATCTATATATATAAAAAGCTAATATGCAAATTGTCCCTGCGGGATTTTGACTGAAAGACTGATCACTCACTATGATGTGTGCTGACCACCAGGGGGCAGCACAGAATGAAGGAAGGCCCTGGCTGGCAGCTGGGGAAGGGAGGCCCTGGCCAGGAGCTGGCAGCCAGGGAAGGGAGACCCGGACTGGCAGCCAGTAGCCGGGGAAGGGAGGCCCCTGCCAGCAGTTGGAAGGAAAGCTCTGGTGGGCAGCTGGAAGGCCTTGATAGGCCCTGATTGCTGGCCAGGCCTAAGGACCCTACCCAGGCATGAATGTCTAACAGTGGGCCTCTAGTTTATAAATAAATAAATAAAAACCAACACATGACTTTCATTCAACCATGGCAAAATAGTTGGCACCTACTGAGTGCTTTCTTTTTTTCTTTTTCTTTTTAAAAAAAATATATTTTATTGTTTTTTTACTGAGAGAAAGGGAGAGAGATAGAGAGTCAGAAACACTGATGAGAGAGAGTCATCAATCAGCTGCCTCTTGCACAACCCCTACTGGGGATATGCCTGCAACCAAGATACATGCCCTTGACCGGAATCGAACCGGGACCCTTTAGTCCGCAGACTGACGCTCTATCCACTGAGCCAAACCGGTTTTGGCTGAGTGTTTTCTATGTACCACATATTCTCTATGCTGAGTGTGAATTATTTTGTTTAATTATCCCATGATTCTGTGAGTTAGATGCTCTCATTATCCCTCTTTTATAAAGCAAGTCTAGGCAGAGGACATTTATGTTACTTGCTCAAGATCACACAATTAATAAACTGGAGAGCTGGGATTCAAAAATAGTGAGGCTTTAACCACTAAACTATATTGTATTTCAAATTAAGAACATGGATGTCTGAAATGAATAGAAACATTCTAAAAAGTATAGGCCCCAATGTAAGAACCAATTATAACTACTTAATCAAAATTACAAGCTAGTCAGAATTTTGTTATTTCATTACATCAATGCTCATTTATTTAGCACCCATGACTCAGCATAGCAACAGAGGATGTGACAATGCATAATAACAATACTAAGTGCTTGCCCTGGAGTCATCTATGATATGGCTGTGGAAACAAAACTGACACATAGGACATTCATAGAGCAACCAACGTGTGTAGTTAAATGCTAAGTCATGTGTCATATTAAATTGTATATTAGCAGGGCATCAAGAAGAGAAAGAATGCAGAAGGCCAGTGTGGCTTGGAAAATACTTGCAAAGGATCTTAATGATAGAGTGAAGCTGGATGAGGAGAGGGGGTAGAAGGATACACCTGTCAAGAAGAGCAGGATGAAGACAAATGGAAGCTCAGAGAGAGGAATGAGCATGGTATGCTGGTTTCTATGCTTCACTCCTTCCTTTCCCTCTCCACCCCCTCCTCTGCTCTGTACACACACATACAGGGTGGGATAAAAGTAGGTTTACAGTTGTTTTCATGGAAAATAATACAACAATTAATAAATAATACAAGAATAGACTCTGTGTTTTGCACTCACAACTATAAGCCTACTTTTCCCCACCCTGTATATACATATACATCCATGTATACACACATGCTTTGGGCTGTATATGAGTGTGCATATAAATATATACACATAGATTTACCTCCAAATAATATTTGCCTTCCTTACACCGGTGTCAAAATGTTTCTGATAAACTTAGAAATATGATGAGTTGCTGGAGGTGATAATTTCTAATTTTTAAATCTGCAATAGCTCACGCATAAATTAAGAGGATAAGAGAGAGAAATGAGGTATTGGTTACCCTTGACTATATTTAGCAAAACCATCCTCCTTTTGGAAATTGAGGGCAGGTCAATCCTCATACCAGGAAGATATTTTTACTAAAAAATAACTCTTTATATGGCACTTTTGATTGTTTTTTGATTGACACTCCTATGTATACACATTTTGGGATTATTGTTAATATGGGAAATAAAGAGAAAATTGTTCTGTAATATTATTCCTCTGTGTTTAATAATAAAATTCAAGAAAAATGAAATATTCCTCCAGTACAGTGAGTTGGGTGACTAAGATGAAAACCCTGAGTTTTATGGGTTGAAGTAGAGTTCTGAGTCATGGGTGTTGTTACCAAAAAAAAAGCTAGGTTTCTAAGACCAGGATAAGCAATTCTTATATAAATCAATGTCTTTGCTGTCTCAATTTTATAAAGCAAAGGAACCAAAATTCTAGTTTTTAATTTTGAGACATAAGGAATCAGATTTGTTTTCTATAGGATGTTTACAATTGGTAAAAATATGCTACTTCATATTTAACTGAAAATAATTATAATTCAAAGACTAGGACTTTGAAGTTATCTATTCTCATGTCAATTGAATATAATATTTTTGTTTTATTATTATATGTTTAACAATCCTCCATGAGCAAATTGTGGAGGAATAGTCACATTGTATTCTGCAGACATACTTAACCAGGCCAACTGGGCACCATCATATCTGGGAGTTCACTCATATAGTAGAACCAGGTGGCAAACTTGATTCTCCCCTCTTATTTTTTACAAAACCCACCATGAACTTACAGATGTGATCAAAAGCGTTAGTAGTAGCATTGATTCTGATTTCATCAACAGAAGGTGTATCTGAATGTGAATCTCTGTGTCTGGGTGTGTACCCAAGACATTCACCTCTCAGGTTTGATTTCCCAAGCCACTTTTTCTTTAATATTTAACAAAAAGTTCATGACTCTTCTTCTCATATATTGTTGGAAACCCAGCATATTTTCCAATAGCTACAATAATATCTGTTGAGTTGATTAGTAAGAGATGTCGCTTATATTTTTATGCTGACTTTTGACTTCTGGTTAGTTCTTGCTGCATTAAATTCTCGATCTTTTCTCTGCCCTTCACTTGCTATCTCTCAGGCCTCTTTCCTGCACTATTTTGCTCTGCTTTTCATGGTTTTAATTATTGTACTACTAAAATGACATTGTCTAGGTTATATGTAGAGCAGGGTTGTTGGTTTTTTTGTTTTTGTTTTTCTGAAAAACTTGGGGACTAAAGAAGAGTTATATAAAATATGCAGCATATTTGATGAAAGCTAACCTTCAAGGTTAAACAGGCTGTTCTTAAATGTGATCATTCCCATACAGACCCATGAAACTAAAGATCTAGCTTATCTGCTCCTCACACACCCAACACACACTAGTGGAATGGTCATGGGATAACCATTATAAACATTACTGGTCAAAAAAAGGGGGACATAGGAGCCATAAAGGAGGCTTTGATATATAGCAGTTCTGAAATCTAAGCAGAAAATGTTGAAATGTCCTAATTAGGTTCAGCGATCATTCTTTTGGCTCAGCCCTCTGGGCGTGTATTAATTGGCTCAGACTGCCATAACAGTCCTACAGACTGGGTGATTAAGTAACAGAATGTATTTTTTAGCACTTCTGGAAGCCAGGAGTCCAACATGTCTGCTGAGACCTGTCTTCCTGGTGTGCAGATGGCTGCCTTCATGCTGTGTCCTCACCTGGCCTTTCCTCTGTGCTCGTGTAGTGAGAGAGAGATTTGGTGTTGCTCCCACTTTTTAGGAAGATGCCAGTCCTATCTAATTAGGCTTTTATTTTATGACCACATTAAACTTTAATTACCTCCTTAAAGGTCCTATCACCATATCGAGGGCTAAGACTTCATATAAATTTGGGGGACACAATTCAGTCCATAACAGTGCTCTTCTTGGTTCTGCCTGAGTCACCTTCCCTTCTCATGAAAGACATTACTTTGGCCAAAGAGTAGTTTTCCCAGGCTACTTTCTGATATTTTGGGGATCCAATTGCCTCCCTGTACATTTATGCTGTTCAGCTACTTTTCATCTTAAGGTGGCAGTGGCACACCTTTACTTTCAAAGGGTCTTTTGTATGACTGAAGAGTTCTCCGAGATGTTAAGGAAAGACTTTGCAGTCATACCCTTGGCTTCATCTCTAGACTAAGGGCACAATATCATGTCTTTGATATTTTTTGCCAGACATGTACAATTGTATTTAATCATGAGGAAACATCAGACAGACCCAAAGTGAGAGATATTCAATAAACCAACTAGCCAATACTCTTCAAGAAAGTCAGGTCATGGAAGATAAGAGAGACAAAAGAGATGTGACAACTGAATACAACATGGGGTCTAGGTTGGATTCTAGACTAGAAAATTGTCCAAGGAATGTGTAATCTTAAATTCAGTTTAGGTTTGTGCTGTTATTCAATGTTACTCACCAATCTGATGAGTCTAAAAAAGGGGGGCATTTCTAGATAGTCCTGATTGAAAATCAGAGTCATAGTAGGGGTTAGATCAATATGAACCATCCAGTTTAGCCAACTGGGAGAGCATGGTACATGACTGTGTTATTTCCTGGTGGATAATAATTAACTTAAAAAGGATAGGCAGGGGGTAATGAAGTATAAAATAATCATTAGAACAATTTTATTATCAAATTTGGTTATGCCCCTTTTGGATATGAGCTTTGGAATGGTAACTACTAATTCTCTTTAAAAAAACCAAACAAACAAAACAAACAAACAAAAAAAAAAAACAAGCCATTTAATTGTGTGTTATTCTCAACGAGTTCAGAAGGGTCAGAACTCAGAGGTGCTCGAGGCAGAGCACTTTTGGAATTCATGCATTCCACTTAGCAATTTTGCAAACTGCCAGAAACAGACCCCAAGAGTCTTTTGAGTTGGGAAAAATTCAACTCCTGGTTTTACAGATAAAAGAACGAAGAGCACCAAAAACGTGGTTTATTTTTGTCACACAATCTGAAGCCTGAGCTGTCATGATCCCAGTTCATAGTGTCTATGCTGCAGTTTAGGTAGGAGATCAGTCCCTCTCTCTATTCACTTCCACGTAATGTCACCGCAAGAGTGACCTGGGGCAAAGAGCTCTTATCAATACAGCTTTCTAACAAGCACTTAAATGAAAAGAACCCTCTGGTGGCACACTAGTTAGTTTATAAGATTTTAATTTACTAATTAAAAAGTTATATGTTTTATGGTTTCTTCTTTTTCTCTTATTTCTTTATACCATCTTTCTCTTTCTCTTTGTCATCTTTTCTATCCTTTATGCTCTCTTCTTTTTCCTGCCATTCTTTCTTCTCTGGATCCCAGTTGGCAATCTTGTTGATGAGGTTGTGCAGGGCAACCACTGAATGGATCAGGGAGGCCAAACACACCACAACCATCTGGTCATTGGTCTTTAGGTAAAAGGCCTTAACAAACTCCTGCAGACTAACGTCTGACAGCAGGCTGAAGACATCCTGCAGTTGGTAGGTGATTTGGTGGTTATGGGAAACTTGCCTGTAGCCACTTTCTCCAGGTAGCCTTTGATACCCAGAAGTTTGGAGTTCAGTCCCTTTATACCATGCACCTGGTTTGTGATCACAGTAGTGTCTTTGATGTCTCTTAACAAGTGTTCAACCCCAACTTCTTCAGCTTCCTCTGCTCCAATTTCACTGGAGTGTTTTTGAGGTTGGAGTTCCATCATGAACTTCTTCCACTGAAATATATGCTTGTGTGGGCAGTCCCAGATCCTTTGGTTTCACATCAATGATGACTAATAGTTAGGACAGTATCTTTTCATGAGTTCATTGATGGCGATGTCATTCTTGTGTAGTTTAGGGCCTGTGTGGTACCATCTAACTATTCTTTCTCTGGCATTGACCTTCTTAAACATTCCATACATGTTTTCCAAATAATCATTGTCTAAAAGCCAGATGGAATCATTTTTGTCATCTTCATCAAAAGGGACTGCAAAACTGTTGGGTACATCCAGTACTTTCTTTTGCCATGACCCCAAAAGCACACCAACAACACGCTTCTGGTTTTCAACCTTTGCCTATTCGGTTAAAATGATCCACCACACTGAGCAGCACCAGAGGTGGACCGCCTCCTTCTGCACCGCCAGCTCCAGCATCGTGAAACCCTGCCAGCCAGGTTCTGCTCTCTGCAACTTGCAAACAAGGCAGCCACAGCGGTGGGGACACTCCTGGCAACTATTAATTATGATCCTTAGCTTTAGCATAATAAAACCTACCTCAAAATGTTGTACAGATTAAATGAAGAGTTGCGTATTAAGAGCATGAAACATAGTAAGCATTCAATTAAAGACAGGCTTTGTTTATAGCATGCTGATGCTGATAGTGATGGTAGGCTACCTCGAAGCAGACTAGTATTTTGGACAGAGGTATCCCACAAAGACACTAGATAACAGCACAGATAAAAGGGAAAAGTCAAAAGGACTTGCATGACAATTTGTGAATATTCTATGAGTTAAGGGCAAGAGTTTTAGGTTGATGACCTTGGATGTTTCAGGGTTCCATTCAGAC